TTTTTTTCCTTTTTGACTTGATGCTTTTTAAAGCTTTTTTACTTTTAAAAAAATAAAAATATTGTTTAATATGTAAATATTTTTTTTTTATAGAGAAACTAAAAAAAATAAATAAAAAATAAATTTATATTCTAAATTACTTTATTAATTATTATTTCAAAACTTGTTATCTTTTTATATATTATTTTAATTTTCGTGCATTTTTATTATGATTTTAAAATTAATTAAATAAAAATATAAAATATCAATTTTTTATTATGGGGAGAAAAAAAAAAAAAAAATTAATATAATAAATTTAAATTTCTATTTCTTTGTTATATATAAAGAAATTAATTTAAAATACTTTCCAAAAACGTTAAAGGAAAAAAAAAAAAAAAAAAAAAAATTTTTTTTTTTTCATTTTAAAATATAATTTGAGTTATTGTTTAAAAAATCAAATACTCTTAATATAACACAAAATTAGAAATAAAATTAAATTATATTAATAAATAAATAATAATTTTTCATTATATAACAATATTTTAAAAATAATAAAGAATTATAATATAAATAACATGAAATTTAATATATTTTATAAATAATTTTTAAACATAATATATTTAAAATTATTTTGTTATTTTAGTTTTGGAATTATATTATAAAAATATTATAGCCTATATTTAAAATATCAAATTAATTTATAATTATATTATTTTTATTATTTTATAAAAATTAAAAATAAGAAAATCGCCATACATAAAAAATAATAAAATATATATATATTGTATTATTCAAAATTAATTTTTATTCTAATTTTTTTAAATAGTATATATATATATAAAATTAATTTATTTGTTTATATATAGACTATTGTAAAAAAAGAGGGAATAAAAATTAATTTTTCATAAAATAATATAATGGTATTTTAAATCAATATATAAATATTATATTTTATTTTTTTATAACAAAAAAATATTATTTTCTAAAGCTTTTAAATTATATTTAATAACATAAAATATCGTAAAAAATAAATTAGAAAAACTTTAATTTTAATCAAACGATTTTGAATTTATAAATTTACATACTTATATGTTTAAAATTTATACATGTATAAGTTTTAATCAAATTTGATAAATGAAAAAAATAATCTTATAAAATCTTCATTAATTTAATGCTTTTATTATTCAAAAAAATAAAAAAATTTGTTTTATTTTTGCTTAAATTCTATTCTATATTTATGTTTATTAGTTTTTATTATAATTTTTTTGACAGATTATTATTATATTTTGATTATTTCAATAGTATAAAGACATTTCTAATTATTATATGTAAATAATTACGTTACTAATATTTTCATTAGTTATACTTCTATTATTATTTGAAGTAATTTATTTCAAGATAATAAAATTATTTTTATTATTTAAATACTTTTTTTAAAAAAAAAATTATCTAAATTTTTATCATTTTACTTT